TTCACCTCGGAATGGGTTGTGAGGATGAGCTCAAGTAGTTCAGCTCGGATTGAGCTCATCCGAGGATGTTTACCTCATCCAAGGTATTTCACCTCAGAATGGGTGTGAGGATGAGCTCAACCAAGTTTTATGAACTTGTTTAAGTTCCTAAGTCAGCACATGAAGTTCCTGTTGTTAAAGTCTGAGGCTGACCATATTATATGATAAGGGTTATATATCTTAAGCTTAGTATCACAGTTAATAATTGTAACTTGAATAAATTATGAAGTTGCACTTTTTAATCATAGGTTCCTATTAGAAGTCATAATATATGACTCTTATCCCCCTTCAACCCGCACATTTGGGGCCGCTAAACATAAATGTTGTAATCATAAATTACACTATTTTCATTTTTTATGCTTCAACATGTCCAATAAACAAGCAGTCATGCATGTGGTAATAAAAAGTCTTTCTAGCTTGTAAATATAAGAACAAAAATTGAACATGCAAAATAACTCATAAAAATCTTAAATGTGTAAAGTAATTTTGAAAATTTTAATATGTAACACTTACTTGACTTGCAGAGTGGAATTAATTTATACTTGAGAAAGAATTGTGCTTGATGAGATAGAAACTTGAGAAAGAATTTAGCTTCTTACGAATGATGTTAACTCCTGCTTGCTGTGACTCGAGCAAATGTGGAGAGAAAAAATCTAGCCTCTCATAAATGATGTTAGAGAAGAAATTTACTCGATCATCTTTGTAAGCTATTGAGCTTTATGGTTAGGGCCCGTAGCCTTTTAAAATTGGATGGAGGAGTTGTTCATAGCTCGTATATAATTTTGGAGGAGCTCACCATAAAGGGATTTCTCTAGAACCCACCCCACATGGAGTCCCTACACTTTTCCATCTCTTAAATAGCAACATATATTTATAATCATAAGTGCAAATGAGCAAAGTTGCATGATTATGATATATAAAAAATGAGATGGCAAAATGATATTATGAATGCAAAAACAAGTGCATAATGAATGGAAAAATGTGGAATGAATGTAAAGAATGTGGAAAGCAATTAATAATAAATTTTAATAAGATTGGACCAAGCTTGGACCAAAGCTCTAATTTGCTGCGGAGCTCAATTGCTTTCTTGACAACCTGTATCGCAAGGACTTGAAAAGAGGAGAAATTAAAGCATCCAGTCTTATAATCAAGAAAATATATTGTGTAAAATAAATAAGAGAAAAAGATTGTGAGTTCATCTTTTTTAACTTTCAAAGCAATACATGGTTGATGAACTAAATTTATATACATATTAATCTAGAATCTATGCCTTGATATTATTGATAGTTGAATGAGTTTTATGAAAATTTACTTAATTTTGCATAATTTTCATTCTGTGCTGGAGAGGACTTCATTGGAAAAAGTCACAATCTTTAGGAGTAAATTGCAAAGATATGAAATTTGAGGATTAAATTTTTCAGAATCCGAAAGTAAGGGGTCGGGATTGTAATTTTATCGTTAACAAAATTTGCAGAGAAGGACAAAAACCCGACACGGACTAAAACCCGACACGGACTCTTGAGGACAGATGCAGGAAAGGTGTCGGCACCTTGTTTAGGGTGTTGGCACCTTACAGGTCGTGCTGCACATCCTCCAACTCATGCTCGTCCTCTGCACCTCGTGTTCAAGTTCTGCACTTCATGCTCGGCCTCTGCAGCTCGTGGCTGACCTTGGCAGTAAGTGTTTGACCTCTGCAGCTCGTGCTTGAGTTCTGCGCTTCGTGTTCGACCCCTGCACTTCGTGCTCAACCTCTACAGCTTGTGTTTGAGCTCTGCAGCTCATGCTCAACCCCTGCACTTCATGCTCAACCTCTGCAGCTCATGCTTGAGCTCTACAGCTTGTGTTTGAGCTTTGTAGTTCATTCTCAACCCCTGCATTTCGTGCTCGACCTCTGCAGCTCGTGCTTGAGCTCTGCAGCTTGTGTTTGAGCTTTGTAGCTCATTCTCAACCCCTGCACTTCGTGCTCGACCTTTGCAGCTCGTGCTTGAGCTCTGCAGCTTGTGTTTGAGCTCTGCAGTTCGTGGTTGAGCTATGTAGCTTGTGTTTGAGCTCTGCAGCTCATTCTCAACCCCTGCACTTCGTGCTTGACCTTTGCAGCTCGTGTTTGAGCTCGGCAGCTCGTTTGGAGCTCTACACTTCATGCTCAACCTTTGCAGCTCATGGTTGACCTCGATAGCTCGTGTTTGAGCTCTGCAGCTCGTGCTTGATAGCTTGTGCTATACAACTCGTGCTCAGCAGCTCAAAAGATCTTGCCCGAGTTCTGCATCGTGCTTGTGAGCTCGGCAACTCATGCTTTTGAACTCAACAGCTCGCAGCTCATGTTCTTGCAGTTCGCTTCTCATGCTCCTGCAATTCCTAGCTCGTGTTGCGGCAGGGACTTTACAGCTCATTATTGTCAATTTTCCACGGGATAATAACTCCAAATGGCTTGCTCGTTACAGCTCATTATTCACAGCTTTATTGGCAAAATTTTCAAGCCTCCAAATGGTTCGGTGATGCTACGTGGGCGGTTGAATGCCTCTGCTCTCAACTGAGCATGAGATGAGAGTACTGGCTTCTCAGAGCAGCATGTGTGTTCCTGGTAGTGGTTTAACTTTCATCTTGAAGGGTGGTGTCCAATACCTTCAGAGCTTCCATCTCTAACACTACCATCAGCATTTTTTGTCATCGGAACCATAGTCTTTTGCTCCCTAACAGCTGATTGGAGGGATTTAATTTATTACTGGCAAGTTGCCTAGTCAAGACTTATCCCTTGGATTCTTTTATTTTATGAAATAGGCTCTCGATAATTGTGTAAAGCTGAACCTCGATAATTGTGCAAATCTACTCCTCTGTTTATCTTCTTGTGAATGTTTATCTTCTTGTGAAAGCTTCTCTTCTTTACAAGTGAATAAACCCATTCTGTAAATTCATCAGATCTACTTTTGCGACTCAAAAGAATCAGCCATGAGCCTTTCACTCATCTTCTCTTCCCTCCGACCAACCGGATCAACATAGAAATAAAGCTTTTTATTCGAGTTCCCACAGACGGCGCCAATGTAATTGCACCAAACCAGAAATCCTTCTTCAGTCCGCATCTTCACTACGAATGTACCTGCAAAGCCCCGAGGTGGGTTCTCGGGGTAGACACTCCGATGCTGAAGTCAGCAATAATCAGGGTTACCTTTAGAGTGGAGATAAAAGAAGCTTAAGGTTGGTTTCAATTACCTTTTTGAGGTGGCCTCTGGGGGTATTTATAGGCCTTTGTGAGGTATCCACGTGGCTTGCTTAGCAGGATAAGCGGGGTGTGACGTGTTCCTTAAGGAGATAAATTCGGGATCAGGAAATTAAGAGAAATTCTGGTGTGAGCATGCTGACCGTAACTGTCATGCAGCTGTTTGACTAGGAAGTGCTTCACTTCGGTTATTAAGGAATTATAGCAGTACGTCCGAGGTCTTTAACCTCAAACCTATCCTTACAATGGGCATTATACCTATGGGATATTCATAAAAAACACCCTCATGTATCCTTCTGTCCATTCATATTTTTTAACTAACTTACCTCTTAGTACCAACTGCATCAATTTCATCAATGAAGACAATAGAAGGTGAGAGCTCATTAGCAACTCTGAATAGTTCCCTCACTAACTTTGGGCCATTTCCCAAGTATTTTTGAATTAACTCACTATCAACAAGACGTAAGAAAGTAGCTGATGTAGAATTAGCCACTGCTTTAAAAAAGAGAAATGACATGTAGAAGCTCAGATTTTCTTTCAGATATAGCAAAATAATGGAAGCAACAAGCATCAAATGACTTACACTAAAGTCTAGACACTATTCAAAATTGATAGAATTCCAGATATTCTCATCAATTTGTGTAATTTGTTTTTCCCTATGTTTCCTTCATTAATGCACTCACTTAACATTTTTTAACAGTAACTAATTGCCACTCACGCCTATTGGAGAAATCAAGACTAGTTGTTTGACAACAACCAAATTACACAAAAGGTTCAGAGGTAACTACAAAATTCACAAAGGGTTCTCATAACCTAGTCACAAAGAAATCAATTGTGCACTAAGTATAGCCTATTCTGATAATTAACATTTATAATACCTAATAGCCTGTAAATATAGGGGAAACCCTTAGGCACCTAAGGATCTCCTAATGCCACAACCTAGGTATTAATCATACACTAAGTTAACCTTGTCATAAGGGAAATATAAGATACCATAAAATATAGTCTAGACTTGGCTAGCTGAGGAATCTTACAATGCCATCAATTAATAATTTAATATATCTTCAGTGGAATTGATATTCAGTTTTTACTTTTCTTAAAAGAAAATAAGGTTACAAGTAAGAAAACTAAATTACTAATAAAATGTTCCTAGTCTAAAAAGTTAATTTAGAAAGGCAAAGGAAGTGCAAGATGTAGCAATAAATGCAGATGCAATAAATAAGACAGGTTAATGGAGACAAAAGAACACAAACCTTAGCAAGCAGGGTCTTGCCAGTCCTAGGCTCTACATACAATATGACACCCTTTGGAGGCTTGATACCAATGTCTTCATACAGTTCAAGATGTGTTAAAGGGAGCTTAACAGCCTTTTTAATCTCCTATATTTAGGCATCCAAACCTCATATATTAGCATAAGATTCCAATGGAGCCTTTTCAACCATCATAACAGACACCATTAGATCGACCTCATCTTGTAGAATCCCAACAATAAGGTGAACCTAAGAAGAGAACATAACAATATAAAGCATAAATTTCTATTAAACAAAAAGATAAATAGAGACAAAATGGAATAAACACAAGACTAGACTAGGAGAAGCTTGGTTCAATTTACCTACCCATAAACACCAAACTAAGACAAAAGCCTTGCTTATGGTTATCTCTTTAAGACCCACCATACCTTAACTCAGAAACAACTAAAACCTGAAGACCCAAATAATTTTTGCATTGGATTAAGGAAAATACCTCGTTTGCACTAGCTCTATACCACATCTATGTGTAAGGACAAGATAAAGCAGAACGCAACGCTCTGCCACTGCCACAATTGTATGGCAATTATAATTATAACGCCCTTACCCAATCACTTGTCCTTACCCAATCCTCCATCTCCAAGGGACCTACTCCGTTAGAACACACCATGCTCATTTAATGTGGTAGCTTTGTTAAGACACGTTACGTTCACCTAAGACATCTATTTTGTCAGACGCATCATGTCACGATTGTCGTGTTAAGTGAGCCATGTGGGGAACCTGTCAAGGTAAACAAAGACTTCCATGGACTACTCCTAAGGGTAAGAGAAAAGAACAAATCAAAAACTCTTTCATTTTTTCTTCTCAAAAAAGAAAACATAGACTAGACTATTGCTAATTTAAGCATTGAAGTATCTATCCCGAGGACCACTCTCGAGGCTTTGCAGGTCAGTTTGAAGGGAAGATTATAACAGTTGAGATCTTGAAGGTTTACTGCATTTACATTTGGCACCGTTTGTGGGAATCGAAACTAAGAGCCCTGATAAAAGACTAAGATGGTTCACAAATGCTCAACTTAGCATGGATGCCCATCCTAAGGCCGTGGAAGAGGTCAGCTTCCAAATGTCAATCCTATGCCTCAGAATATGCCGCTCGTTGCTACCCAACGCCAACATGTAAAAGGAATAGGAGAACACAATCCACAACATCTAGTCACTACCCTGAATGACTTCATAACTACTCAACTTAATACCATGCAATAGAAATTCAGAGTATTCCAGCTAGTACTTGTGTGGCTATTAACCAAAGACAAGCTCGGTGATCCCCTCATCAACTTATTGAACCCTGTTCATCCCATAGTTCCTTACTAGCCTCAGCAACGTGTTAACTCCCTTGTTCAGAGTACTGCCCCATCTAGAAATGATGCCCAAGCACAATCCCACATACCACATACCACCTCCACTTCTAAACCCACCTCAATCAATTGCCTCAGACATCTCCAAAAGACTGGACAACCTAGAAAAGATGGTAGCTGAAAATCGAGTTACACCCCTAATCCAAGTCAGCTCAACCCCTATGCCTACCCCTTTTAACACCAACATTGTTCAAGAACCATACCCGTCAGGATTTAAGATGCCTCAATTCGAGACGTATGACGAAACCAAGGACCCCAACGATCAATTGCATGCCTTCTACTTCATTATGCAGGCCCAGAATGCCTTAGATGCCCTCATGTGCAAGATACTCCCATCTACATTATGTGGCAATGCTCAAACTTGGTATTACAGTTTGAAGCTGAGCTCAATTAGTTCATATGCCAAGATAACAACAACCTTTTCCACCAAATTCTCTAGCCAAAGGCTGATAAAGAAAACAACACCCAAGCTTATGCGAGTAATTTAGAGGGAAGGTGAATCCCTAAAAAGTTACATGAATAGGTTTAATGATACTATGTTAGAGATTAGTTCATTTGACCAAGTGGTAGGAATTGCCGCCATCATTTAAGGTCTTGGCCATGAGCGATTCCGAGACAATTTGATCAAGCACCTTTTGCCACATTTAATGAGGTCAATGAAAGATCTCACAAGTTCATTACTGTCGAGGAGTATGTTTTGTCTCATAAACCTTTATCTACCAAGGAAAGCAGAAGTTCGATGTGGAGGGAAGAAGGGCGAAGCAAGAAGAAGTTCAAACCCACTTAGAATCGAGGTCCAATCCCAATTCCCAAGCCTGACAAATCGAGCTCAAACACATCATAGAGGCAAGCTAAACAGGGTTCATAGGCCCCGTTTACACTATTGAGGGCATAGATTTTCATGCAAATAAAAAATAAAATGGAGTTAAGAAGGCCAACACCTATGCGAAGCCCAGCTGATGAGAACCCCAAAGAGAACATTGAGACCCACAGCATGACAAGGGATTTCTAAACTCCAGGAAAGCTAAATCAGGTTTATAATAGGAGCTTAACCTGTTGTTTATGTCACAACAAGAACCAAAGGTAGAAACCTTGACCCGTTGTCTATGACGCAACAAGAACCAGAGGTATAAAGTTGGTTGACGCCACACCCTCGAACAATTAAGAACGAGAATGATAAGTTAGGTTAGAACACTACAAGAATAATCTTAATAAGTTCTATAAAGTTCTAAAACAAACCAAAGAGAAAAGTCTTTCAAAAACTCAGATTCAATAGCTCCCCCCCAATTAGGGTTACAAGCTCTTTAAATAGGGAAATATAATTCTAATAAGAATAGGAAAACTAATACCCTAAGCCCTAATTTTAATAACCACGAATTGGGCCTCAAATAAATGAATGTTTAGCCCAAAATAATATAAAAAACGTGAAAATCACTGAAAATAACATAAAACAACATGAAATATCAATTTGTTACAAATTGTGACAGAATCAGGGGATTTTGACGCAAACTATGTAGTTTAGCATAAATGGCCTCAATTAAACTTCTCTTGAACCCGAATGATGTTTACAATGCCTTGATAATCATCCAAGCTTCGATTTACTTATTGCATGTTGTTATCAACCCAGATTTGCTCAATAAGGCCATTTAAAGCTTTTTGCATCTTCCTAACTCTAGCTCTCGTGATTGGACCTCCTGTAATGTGTAATGGATCTCTTGACGTGGTACATGTGGGGTCATCTTGATTCCCATCATTCCCTCTCCCCTCAATAGGATTTGTCCTCAAATTGTCACTCACATCAAAAGGAGAAAGATCAGAAACATTAAAAGTAGCACTAACATTATACTCACCAAGAAGCTCCAACTTGTATGCGTTGTCGTTTATCCTTGCAATCACTTGAAATGGTCCATCGCCTCTTGGTTGCAACTTAGAATGCCTTTGTGTAGGTAATCGCTTCTTCCGCATATGCACCCAAACCCAATCTCCAAGTTCAAACACAACTTTCTTGCACCCTTTGTTGGCTTGATTTGCATATTGCTCAGTTCATCGCTCTATGTTTTGTTGCACCCTCTCATGTAGTTGCTTAACCACTTCAGCTTTCTTTTTCTTATCCAAACTAGTTTGTTCATCAATAGGTAATGGCAATAAATCCAAAGGAGTGAGTGGATTAAAACCATACACAACCTTAAATGGTGAACAGTTAGTTGCTAAATGGATGCTTCGATTATAAGCAAATTCAACGTGCGGCAAACACTCTTCCCAATTCTTCAAGTTCTTCTGAATAATAGATCGTAATAAGATTGACAACGTCCTATTAACCACTTCTATTTGTTCATCAACTGAAACAAAATACCCTAAAAAGACAATTTGAGTTGTGTAAAGGAATACTTTTTAAGGTTAACAAACAACTTTTCTTTTTTCAAAACCTCAAGTACCATTTGCAAATACTCAATATGATCAGTTAAACTCTTGCTATATATCAGAACGTCATCAAAATAAACAACCAAAAATTTGCCAATGAAAGCACGCAAAACATGATTCATTAATCGCATGAATGTACTAGGCACATTAGTTAATCCAAATGGCATAACTAACCACTCATATAAACCAAGTTTCATTTTAAAGGCTATTTCCCATTCATAACCTTCCTTCATCCTAATATGATGATACCCACTTTTTAAATCAATTTTAGTAAATATGTAAGAACCATGCAGTTCATCTAACATGTCATTTACTCTAGGAATAGGGTGATGATACTTTACAGTGATTTTGTTGACAGCGCGACAATCAACGCACATACGCCAAGTCCCATCCTTCTTAGGCACAAGTAGCACTGGAACTGCACATGGACTCATGCTTTCTCTCACATGCCCCTTCTTCATGGGTTCTTCAACCTACTTTTGAAGTTCTTTCGCCTCATTGGGGTTGCTTCGATATGCTGGTCAGTTTAGAATTGATGCACTTGGAGTGAAGTCAACCTGATGCTCAATTCCTCTTGTTGGTGGTAAACCATTAAAGATGTCCTCTGAAAACACGTCCTTGAAGTCCTGCAAAAGAGATTTAACAACACTAGGCAAAGAATCATTAAGTTCGTTAGTGTTAAAATAAACATCTTTATACAGAAGCACAAACATAGGCTACTTTGCAAAAAACGCAGCCTTGATATCACTTTCTTTTACATAAACACTCATTGATTTTCTCTCTTTGTTTTCAACACTCTCAATCTTCTCTCTCTTTTTGGACTCTTTTTCTGCTGTTTCTCTTTGTTTTTCATACCCTCAAGCTCACTCTCATTTCTCAGCTCATTTTTTTTTTTACTCTCAATTGATCCTCATAAACCTACCTTGGACTCAATGGTGCAAGAGTAATTGTTTTCCCCTCCATGAAAAATGAATAGCGATTTTTTAAGCCATCATGTGTTACCCTTCTATCATATTGCCATGGTCTCCCCGAAAGTAAATGTCCAGTATGCATAGGAACCACATCACAAAGTACCTCATCCTTATATTGTCCAATAGAGAATAAAACCAGAACTTGCTTATTTACCTTGATTTCTTCACAATCATTTAACCATTGCAGCTTATATGGCCCTGGATGCTTCATCATAGGTAAATTAAGTTTTCAACTAAAACAATACTAGCTACATTAGTACAACTACCACCATCAATAATCACACTACATACCTTGTTTTTGATATGGCACCTCATGTGAAATATATTGTCATGTTGTACTTCATCATCTTTTTTGGCTTGCACATTCAAAGCTCACCTGGTGACGAGCAGTTCTCCATCAATGGCATATTCCACACCATCATTAGCATCTTCTAATGGTGGCATAGATTCATCATCAGATTCACCCTCAGTTTCAATTTCTCCATCTTCTCTCAAGAACATCGTGTGCTTATTAGGACATTATGAAGCAACATGCCCCCTTCCCAAGCATCGAAAACACTTGATGTCTCGGTTTCTGCCTTGCGTATTATCTGTTTTACTCTTCTCATTGCTGCCAACTTCTTTTGACTTAGATGCTACAGTTGTACGCTTGAAAGCAGAATTTTCTTCCTTTTTGCTCCAATCCAATTTCCAAGAAGATGAGGAACTTGAATTTTGTCCAGTTCTGCTGGTGGCTTCTTTACGCTTGAGATGCTGTTCTACTTTCATTACCATATGCACCATATCTTCTAATTCCACATAATGCTGCAGCTCCACCACATTAGCTATATCACGATTTAAGCCATGTAGAAACCATGCCATAGGTGCTTCTCTGTCTTCTTCCACATTCGCTATAACCATTGCGATTTCCATCTCTTTGTGATAATCCTCAACGCTTTTGGACCCTTGAGTAAGGCCTTGCAATTGTTGATAGAGATCACGGTAGTAGTGACTAGGAACAAATCGTTTTCTCATCACAGCTTTCATCTCTTCCCAAGTGTCAACAAGACGCTCTCGATTTCTACGTCGACTAAGCACAAGCTGATCCCACCACACCACAGCGTAATCAGTAAATTCTACAGCTGCTAATTTCACCTTTTTCTCCTCAGAATAGTTATGGCAATCAAACACCAACTCCACCTTCTTTTCCCACTCCAAATACACATCTGGATCATTTTTGCCTTGAACCGGAAGAATCTTCATCTTAACAATACCTAAGTCACGATCTTGCCGATCTCCTCACCTCATCAGATTTTGCTCTCTTTGGCCCCCTCTACCTCTCATAATTTTTGTTCATGCTGAAATTTGAGTTAAGGGCGTCATTGTTGAATGCATCTTCATAATCGTCATTGAAATCGTCATTAGCATCATTCCTACACAAATTTGGACTTCCATTTTGTGTTTGGTATAACTTGGCTATCACTACATCTTGCTTCTCCATTTTGTCTTTAATCTCACCAAACATGATGTCCAGCCTCTGAAATTGTTGTTGCATTGCTTTGAGCATGAAAGGTTCATCCCCATGGTGTCTTCTAGTGGTTGATTTGTCATCACCGCTTGACATGATTGAAACCTGCAACAAATGTTAGAAACAGAAGAATAAAAGGACCTCACAACACTCCCTTACGTGTTTCACTCCATTCTCCCACAGAATGGCACTCAACGCTCGTGTTTTGCACACTATAGAACTTGACTTTTTCTCTCAAGTGTTGCTCACACCTTTTGCCTTTTTCCCTCACTCAACTTTCCTCTTTCAGTTCGTCATTGAACTAAACAAGTTCAATTCAAGTTATTTTACAGCAATCTAACTCCAACAAATCTGCAAGAGTTAAAGGAAACAAAAAGACACAAATGAACGAATAAGAAAACCAATAAAAGAACCAAACCTAAACAAATTAAAACGAACAGATCAGTTCAATCACTTCCTAGTAGGAATTGACTTGACTATTCCTTAATGCAATAGGATTCCTAACTTAGGAAGGAATAAACAAAATTGCTATCTCCTTGTTTAAATAGAAGTCAAAGAGAATTTCCAACTCCTTATTGGAGTAGGATTCCTTCTTCTTTAAGGATTTGGCCATAGATTTCTTCTCTATATAAGGAATTCCAACCACA